CATAAATAGAATAATTATAATAAAAAATAATATAATAATAATAAAATAATGATAAATTAAAGATTAATAACAAATAAATTAAAAAAAATAGAATAACTAAAAGGGTTTTCAAAAAACAGAGAAAAAAGACTGAGATTGACACAGAGATGACTTCAAAGAGAAGAAACAACGGAAGATCAAAGAAAGGAAGAGGACATACCCAAAACGTTAGATGCAGCCATTGCGGAAGATGTGTTCCAAAGGATAAGGCTATTAAGAGATATCAAATTAAAAATATTGTAGAAGCCGCTGCTGTCCGTGATATTTCTGATAATTCAGCTCTCACTAAGTATAAATTACCAAAGACTTATATGAAATTAGAATATTGTGTTTCATGTGGTATTCATGGAAGAGTAGTTAGAGTTAGATCTAGAACTGATAGAAGAAATAGACTTCCACCAAAGAGAGTTGTTAAGAAGACTAATAAGCAACAAGCAGTTAAACCATCTACTGAAGCTGTTAAAGTTGAAATTCCAGCTGATGTAGTTACTGCACCAAAAGTTGCCAGCCAAAAAGAAAGACCATTTAAATTCTTACAATAAATTAAGTCTGATCTGTTGTGTGGAATTTTATTTTATTATTTATTTAATAAATTTTTATACAAATATTATTTAAGAAATAAAATCAATATAAAATAAAATTAAAGAAAGTTAATAAAAAAACAAAGAAAGTGATGATTTGGAAGAACGTAACCATTAAATCCATCATCTTATTAACAAATTAAGAAGTTAGTAAAATAATGCAAAGTTATAATGGTATGGAATATCCATTTCTTAATACAAGTCATTTTTATCCACCTTTTTCAATGCAAGGATTTGCTCAATTAAGTCAAGGACAATTTTCTTCATATGTCTTTCAAGATGTTAGTTTCCCAAACAATTATTTCATTGATGTTTATCAAAATAATTTACAAGAAGAAATGATGAATATTAGTCGGTTAATTGATGATTTTCCATATGTTTCAATGGATACAGAATTTCCAGGATTTTCAAGTAGAACATCTTGTAATATGCAAGACTCAGCTGAGCCTGAAGAACATTATTCGTTTTTAAAAGGAAATGTAGATGAATTAAAA